TTGAAAAATATCAGTGTAAACTGTTAGCCAATTTATAAACATTTATCTGAGTGTACTGTTATGTGAAGTTTTGACCTTTACTGTCATGGACATTTGTATAAGGCTTTATAGTATTCAGGGCATTTAACATACATCACTTCATTCCCACTGTGGTCCTGAAGCACATGGAGGATAGATTCAATGATTCTCTTTCCATTGATAAGAGAGCTGAGGTTTAGGAGAAGGTTCCAAATCACTTGACTATTTCACCACTGTTGCTCTGGACTAAAATTCAATATGAACACTTGTATAGACCAGAACTAGTTTTTCTTGGATGAATGACCTGACTCTTGGATTTTGTTTGCTTCTATGTTCAGTTTTGGAATGTTATAAACTGAATTGGTTTCAGGCTTGAATAATTTCCAGAGACCTATGGTGTATGTCCCAATTAAAAAAAAAAAGACAATATCTCTAAAAAGACATTTTGATTAAGTGGCCTTTTCTTATCAGTAATTAACAACAATCCCTGTACTTAGGGTACAGAATTCATACTTTTCATGGATCACTGACATCTGGCTTCCTTCAGACTGGCTGATGCATCTGTAAGAGCAGCTTGATAAAAATAGCAACCAAGGGATTAAGAGGGAGTTTAATAATCAGTTCTCCTCTCAAACATAGTTTTGTTTCCACTGGAACCCTTCTCAATGACATCAAATGTCAATGTATGCATTTATTAAAAATGAAAAACACTATCTTAATTGAGGTATTTTTGATGAGTTTGATCACTCACTATCTCAATAATATATGCAAATAAAAATGCATTTGCATTCAAAGTTCATTTTTAAGAAAAAGATCAAAGTACGGGCAATCAAATGTTAATTGCACCGTAGGGAGAATCATTTTGCTCCTTACTGGCCCTAAAACTGCGACAAGATCCCCAGAGTCTAGCAGAGAAACACATCTGATTCACAAGTGCCAGCTTTGGCCACCAGCTATGGTGGACCAAATGACTTCCTCTTTCTGACATATCTTTTATGGTTCTTTCCAACCCATGTGAACCATATAGCTAAAGCCTGAGTAAAGTCAAGATTAAATAGCAAGAATATGGTGACCTAATATATTCATAGGTGTATAAATGTTTAAGTGGGGGAACTAGGAAGAGGTTGGTAAAAGGGTACAAACTTTCAGCTTTAAGATGAGTAACGTCTGAAGATCTAATATAAAACATGGTGACCATAGTTGATAACTGAAATTTTCTGAGAGTAGAATTTACATGATCTCATCAAAATATATATATGTGTGTATATATATATGTATATATACATATATATATTCATACATACATGGTGAATAATGTGTAAACTAGATGGTGGGATTCCTTTTATTATGTATACATATGTCAAATCACCACAATGTATACCTAAAACATTTTACTATTTGATTTGTCAGTTATACCTTAATAAAGCTGAAAAATAAATGTTTGAAAAACATTATTAGAGGGACACCAAGGTAAAAGGCCTCCACCAATATCTGGATTAATTCATGTGGCTTCAGGGTATGCTGTGAAACACCTGATGTTGGAAGTAATCTCACTGAGTCGCATGTCCCATTACATGCTTGTGTGCATACATGATTTGAAGGTTTCATCAATACCAAATTCTGCTAGGAAAGAAGCAGAATTGACAATTCTGTGAGCATCTAAATGTATATCTCAAAGCTGAGGTTTTAAAGGCTAAGAAAAAGAGGCTTATTTACTACTCTGGGTTGTCTGCTTTCATGGTCATTTGTAAAAAATGCATGTCAAATGGTGAGGACATTTTAACTTCTGACAAATACTAGCCATAAATATGTATTTTCCTTTGACACAACATAATTATTATAGAAACATCAAGATATATAATGCTCTACTCTTGTGTAGAAATTGCTTGCCCTAAGATTTAGTCCTTTTGCTTCACCTACCTCAGATTCTCCACCCAGAAAATGAGAATGCCAATACCTTGCTATGTATGTTTGTGTAATGAGGGGAATTAACAAATAATGCTTTAACATTCTTTAAATTTGTAGGTTGTAGCGTCTATGATAGTCATGTGGACTCTGAATTTAGATTGGGTACTTATATGTTCCTTGTGAACTGTTTCTCTACTCTGACTTGGTTCAGTAGTTATTATATTTCCTTTGAATTAATCTCCCCATGGCTCGTTGTTGTGTAATAGTTGTATATCCTTGACCTTGGAGTCTGACCTATTCGCCCTCTTGAGCAGACCTCTAATGGAAAGTGACATAGAATCAAGCTCAAATCCCTTCTAGGACAGCTGCCATTTCATCTCTGACACACTACTCAGATGCTCTTGAGTGGAAACTGCTTTTTCTTGGGTAGAACTGTGATGTCCAAGTCCAAAAAGGTCTCCCTAAAGGGGTAGAAGCGTGATCATCATAGAACAGGCTGAGTAATTCTATGAGGATTAGTCTTTTGTGGGCTAAATTCCCACCTGAGTCTGTGTATCCAGATGACAGATCTTGAAATTGAATTTATAACATCCTTTGAAACTAGCCCCCTTGGGAATAAAAATCAGGTGAATGCTTAGCTTTCGACTAAATCGCCTCCTCTTCTTTTGAAAAACCTATAATAATACATACTTGCACCCTATTTGTGAGTCCCTCCTCTGCTGGACTCCCAACCTCTGGTCTGCTTTGGCATCAAAGAGCAGCCACTCTCTCTGGAATAGTGGAATTGTTTAGAGTAATGGGCTCAGAAGGAGTTCATGAACTTGAATCCTAAAATTCTTTTCTCTAGCAATCTTCTATCAAAGTGCACTTTAGAAAAGTGGATGGCAGTTCAGATGCTCTTCCTAAAGGAACATAACACACTATTAAGATTTATCACCCACAGTTGCCTTTGAGGGAGTTGCCCTTATTTATGCCTTTTACCTTTTGCAGCTAAAGAAGCTGCTCCACTGACTAGTTTAGCAATTTCTCCCAGGAAGTGTGACTCAAGCCCAGGCAAGATGAGAGTACAAATTCTGACCTCCAAGTCTTTGCTTTAGGGCCCCCTAAAGGAGCTAAAACCAAAAGGTTCTCAGCAAGTTAAACAGTGAAATGAGCAGAAAACTAAATAAAGCCCAATTTTTTATCACAAGACTGAGGGACACTACTATTTTTTTTATCTCAAAACCCTAGGTTTAATTTAAAAGTCTTTCTCTGTGATTATTTTAAAAAATGGCTTAAGCGAAATACTTAGTATTCTTAATGCACGGAGGCATGACCAATAACAAACAGAAAGTGAGAAACATGGAAAGTAGTTCAAAACAAATACCCAAGTTCTTTCTCTTCAGAACATATATTCACTTATTGAAATGTATGCCATTCTAATAGTACTTGAGTAATATGAGTAGAGGTAGACTAGAAAAGGGGAATCAAAAATATGAGTAGGGCCAAGTGGAGAACCAGAAAAGTTTGAAATGTTCAAGTTCTTAGAGAGTTAGGAAATGTCTGGCCCAGGTTCTCTTTTTTTATAGTTAAAGTGCCTCGAGCTGGGGACCTGCTCAAGATCTGAAGACTAGCTGGAGATGAGTATCTGGTTCAAGCTCAAATTATACCATGGCTTTATTCTCTCTAGTCTGCCACTTTAAAACTCTGGCAAACTAAACATTATGTAACTTGTCCAAAGTCACAAGGCTGGCAAAAGTGGACCAAGGCTTCTGATTCTAGACCTTCTGACCTCAAAGCCCATCTCTCAGCCATACCTGTCTCATGATCTTCATCTGAGATAACGGCAACAATACTATCTCATAGGGTGGATGCAAGAATTACATAAGTAATACATGTGAAGTATATTAACTTCTTAGTATAACTCCTGGTATATAGTAGGTGCTTAATAAATGTCAATAGCTTTTACTAGCAGTATATTATTAACCTCTACACTATGTCATAAAGGGAAAGAATAAGTTAGAAATGAACCTGCATATGAATTGACCTGCCTTCTCATCCATAAAAAAAACACACCCAGGTTTGATCCTAAGAAGTTATGGCTAAATGTTTTTAGGAGGACTGCTATGTGGCCATCAGTAAGTGGGAGATGCTCCCTGCCACATCCTGACCTCTGTCAGTACTTAGGCTCCATGGGGACAGAAAGTGAGCACGGTCCCACACAGCAGAGGTGGGGAACATCCAGCCCGTGGGCCATATAAGACCCACAAAATCATTTGGTGAGTTAATTATATGTTTGACCAAATACAGCAGACTAATTTTTAAGCTGATAATTTTGTATGTCCCTTGAATGATGTTATAAATATCTAAATGGCCCATGGCAGAAAAAAAGGTTCCCTACCCCTACCATACAGGATAGCAATGAATGTAGAAACAAATGTGTGACTGGCTTGCATGTTATTGCATCTTGTCACTGGGAACAATATAAAGGCAGCAGTATCCATCGTGGCCATCTCTATGGCACAGCCCTTGGAGAAATGAGCATATCACTAGGCAGGAGGAGACAGGATAAAACCAATATTGACTAAGTACTTTCTACATACATGTTACCTCATTTAATCCTCCTATGGACCCTATGGCCCACACAAGTTATTCACATTGTACAGGTGAAAGCACAGAGAAGCATTGCACTACAGCTCAGAGAAGTTCAAGTGACATACTCAGCTTTGTACAAATGGAAATAAAACCAACAGCCCTTGGCCTGTGTCAGCCATATCAGCACCCAAACCCACCACCTCCATCTCCCATTACACTCCACCTAAAACCACATTTCAGCTCTGCTGCTACTCCTCCTCCCAAGTGGTGTAGATGCTGGATAATGAATTCAATACTTCCACTTGAATTAGAATAGTTCAGGTCATCTAATTTGTCTTAATCTCAGTGATAAGACAATTATTTATAATAAGATTTCATAATTACTAAGATTCCAATCATGACATTCTTCTTTATCTCAACAATTTTTATTTGCTCTGTCCCTGGGGAACCCACAGGCCCATGGCAGAGTAACCGAGCATCTTTGCCTTGTTGCCCCACAGGTTGAGGAGCAGCACCTTCAAAAATATGCAGCGCCGTCACACAACACTGAGGGAGAAAGGCCGCCGCCAGGCTATCCGGGGTCCTGCCTACATGTTTAATGAGAAGGGCACCAGCCTGACACCCGAGGAGGAGCGCTTCCTGGACTCAGCCGAGTATGGCAACATTCCAGTGGTCAGGAAAATGCTGGAAGAGTCCAAGACCCTCAACTTCAACTGTGTGGACTACATGGGGCAGAACGCACTGCAGCTGGCCGTGGGCAATGAACACCTGGAGGTCACAGAGCTGCTGCTCAAGAAAGAGAACCTAGCACGGGTGGGGGATGCTTTACTTTTGGCTATCAGCAAGGGCTACGTGCGCATCGTGGAGGCCATTCTCAACCACCCAGCCTTCGCTCAGGGCCAGCGCCTGACGCTCAGCCCGCTAGAGCAGGAGCTCCGAGACGATGACTTCTATGCCTATGACGAGGATGGCACACGCTTCTCCCACGATATCACGCCCATCATCCTGGCAGCCCATTGCCAGGAGTACGAGATCGTGCACATCCTCCTGCTCAAGGGCGCCCGCATCGAGCGGCCCCATGACTACTTCTGCAAGTGCAATGAGTGCACCGAGAAGCAGCGGAAGGACTCTTTCAGCCACTCGCGCTCCCGCATGAATGCCTACAAGGGACTGGCAAGTGCTGCCTACTTGTCCCTGTCCAGTGAAGACCCTGTCCTCACCGCACTGGAGCTAAGCAATGAATTAGCCAGACTAGCCAACATTGAGACTGAATTCAAGGTAATTCACCACTCACCACCCTGCAGGCAGCTTGTGCAGTGGGCTCTTCCAGGTGTGCCCAGTGGCCAAACAGGTTGTCTTCCAGTCTAACACAGGTGAAGGACTTGGGGTCCTGTCTTTTGGGCTCACAGGGAGGAGGGCACTTCCTGAATCTGTCAGATATAGGCCTGGGGGGAAAAAAGCAGCCCATTACGTGGAATATTTGAAACCATGTAAGTGTAGTGGAGAGATGACTTACACACCAACTCATGCTGTAGAAGACAAGCAGCAGGCAGGCAGAATTACACTGTAGTTCTGGTGCAAATACCTCAGTTCTGCCCTCAGAGAACTCAGGAGTGCCCAGAAGTCCAGCGATGGTTTCCTAGCCCAGGTCTTGGACTTGCTGTCTCACCTGCATGGTTCTGATTGTCTTGATCACATTTCTATCCCAACCTGAACTGTGCTAATCCTAGATTCAGTCTCATATCTAATGCTAGAAAGACTTGGCAGCAGCCTTACTCAATTTAACAAGCTATTGCTTTGTCCTGTCAAAGGGCTGAGGAGAAAACACATGAAAATGAAAACTGTCTGTAGAGTTGGGCTTGTCACCCCAGTAGATGGGCATGGGGCAAAGCCCTGTAATTCAGCCACCCTGATAACACTTGGACCTACCAGGTTAGCCTAGGGCAGTGGTCGGCAAATTGTGGCTTGCAAGCCACATGAGGCTCTTTGGCCCCTTGAGTGTGGCTCTTCCACAAAATATCGACTTCTGCGCATGGGCCACGAAGTTTCTATTGCACGGTATATGCGCGCCCGCATGTGGTGTTCTGTGGAAGAGCCACACTCAAGGGGCCAAAGAGCCACATGTGGCTCATGAGCCGCAGTTTGCCGACCACTGGCCTAGGGGATGGTGACCCATCTCCAAAGTCCACTATTCAATAGTGGGCCTATGTTTTTCCTGTCAATTGACATTCCCCCTAAAAGAGAAGATGGGACCTAATTCTTTTGACAGTGTTCAGTAATAATTAAAAGCAAACCATTTAGTGAGAACTTACTGTGTGCCAAAGACTGAGTGTCTTAATATGATGTTGTTTAATCCCTTCAACAATCATTTATATGAATACCATTATTACCCTCATTTTAATCCTTACTCAAAGATATGTCTTTTTATTATTATTGATTTGAGAGAAGAAGGGGGAAGAGAGAGAGACTTGGAATCAAACCCGCTACCTAGGTATGTGCCCTGACTGAAAATTGAACCCGCAACTTTTTTGGTGTATGAGATGATGCTCCAACCAACTGAGCCATCTGGCCAGGGCCAATTATCCTCAATTTATATGAGGGCTATCCTGGATGTTATCCTGCAGGAAATGGAGAGCCACTGGAAGTTTGTGATTAGGGTACTTACTAAAATGATGAAAGCTAGAGTTTTGGGAATTTACTTGGCTGGTAGGTAAGGTGAATTAGAAGGTCTGGAGTGTGAGGCACTGCGACTAAAGAGGGGGACAATTTAGCTGTGCGTGCATGAGGCCATGGAAGCCTCTCTGTAGGAGTGGAATCACACACAATCAGGGACAGAAGAACCAGGCCTACAGGGAGTGCAGGGCACCAAAAATTGTGAATAGATTAAGAATATTATAATTAACTAGTTTTATTCCATCTGTCTCCCATCTTTGACCCATCTACTAAATTGAAGACACTTCCCTACTCGTGCCTTGTACATAGCCTTATCTAGAAAAATTGGTGGTTGTAGATGTAGAGATTACCCAAAGAAGTTCACAAGAAATGTGGCTAGTGCCTCTCCTTTCCTTGTTTCTATACAATAAACTCCACCTACCAGCAATAAAGCCAATGATGTCCCAAGGAAACCTGGTGGAATTTTGCTGTACCCTGGGCTTCAGACTAAATCTTCATATAGGTCATGTAGAAAAAAATGGCTAAGCCAATTAACTTAGATATTTCTGGCAAAGAAAAAAACAATTCAAGGAAAAAATGTTTTCTTAATTCAATTATCTGAATAATTGCACAACTCTCTACTTATCTGAAATCTGGGAGCATGCCAGCCATTCTAAATAAAATTATGCTAGACTAACATTTGCAATTACATCTGGGCTATTTTTTCCTTTTAATAAAACCCAAAGTCTGACATATTTCAGTATATATAATATCTAGAATTGGAAGTTTATTAAAAGCATTTACTATGGTATTTTTATTTAAAAAGTAAATTATAAAAATTATGGACAGTTAAGAACCTACTAACATGATGACAAATGCTCTCTACAATGCAATGATTTAAGCCCGTGGTCGGCAAACTGAGGCTCGCGAGCCACATGCGGCGCTTTGGCCCCTTGAGCGTGGCTCTTCCTAAGCCTTAGGAGTACCCTAATTAAGTTAATAACAATGTACCTACCTATATAGTTTAAGTTTAAAAAATTTGGCTCTCAAAAGAAATTTCAATTGTTGTACTGTTGATATTTGGCCCTGTTGACTAATGAGTTTGCTGACCACTGATTTAAGCAGATAAGAGTTCACATAAATACACATTCACTGGCTATTAACATCTCCCTTTGTTTGAAATGTCTTTCAGGTTGTTGACAAAGGGTGCATTATAAATTAACCTAAGTGTTCTGTCAGAACTGTATCACTTATTCAACTACCCTTGCATGTGCATTCCTGACATAAATCTTCTCAGAGAAGAGAACAGCTTAGCAAGAGGAAAGTCAAATTGTAATGAAAGAGTAATGAGTAAATGCATGTGTTCTACAGTGCACTCTTTTGGAGTCTGTTTTGCCTTAAGGGAACTACACATTACTGCCTGTAGCCATGTGTTACAGAGATGACGCAGGGTTCAGCACAGCTATCAGGTTCTCTATGGAGATGTCATGTCATCCTCCAGAGCCTTTAAAACACACATTCTGGGAGTGACTCTCCTGACTGACACTGTGCATGAAAACCTGATTCAGTTGCTGAGGCTATTGTTTTGGGAGTCATTTTAATTTACCACCAGAATAGTCCAGTTATTAGCAAGAAGTACAGCTAATGTCAAGGTCTCCAATAAATTGTAGCTGGTGTCAGATGCCTGCTAGAAAACCATTATTTTTAGTGTGGAAATGATACAGCTGTTCAAGGATTTTCTTATGTCCCTCTAATCTCCTTGGGTCTAGAAAAATATTAAAACTCACGTGGTCACTGAGGCCTTCCTAGCATCTTGAATGGTTCCTAGCATCCATAAATATTTAACGAAGAAAATCCTAAAAGGATAATCATTTCAACTGATGAAGCAAGTGATTGCTATATCTATGGTTTAAACTCTTCCTGCATATATGGATTTAATAGAGGTATTTGATGGACATGGTGAAATGGGGAAGCTCTAAAAGTGATAAGGTAGTTGAAGGGATAAAAGCAAACCACATTAAATAACTAAAGATCAATCATTAACTGCACTGCATGGTGCCAATGATCACTAAACTCTGGAGCAAGGGTCCTCAAACTATGGCCCTCGGGCCACATGCAAATACAAATATTGTATTTGTTCCCGTTTTGTTTTTTTACTTCAAAATAAGATATGTGCAGTGTGCATAGGAATTTGTTCATAGTTTTTTTTTAAACTATAGTCCAGCCCTCCAACGGTCTGAGGGACAGTGAACTGGCCCCGTTTAAGAAGTTTGAGGACCCCTGCTCTGGAGGGTGCTGTGTGTCTTCTTGGTCTTGCCCACAATACCTACCATGTGGAGTCTGAGAGCCCTGCCCACAAAGACATTTTGGCTGATTGGTTTATCTATGTAGTAGGAGACAGAGAAGGGGAAGCCCAGCATGGAAGAGACTATTCAGAGGTGTTTCACTACTGGAACGGGCTCTGCTCTCTGTGTAGAGGACTTTGTCTACCTCAGTTGAGTTACAGCTTCTGCCACCAAGTACGTAATAAGGTCTCTACATTTCTCTTGAATGAGTCTGCTTGGTTTTTTTATTGATCATCTTTCTGATAAAATTGCTCAGGGTTTACTTTATTTTGTTTGGGTCTTCCCAAATTACTTGGCATTCTGTCTGTGCGTGTTGTTTATTAGTGGAGCTATTGTTTTGAAAAGATTACAGGCATTAAGTCTTTTTTCCAATTCAGAGTTATGCCAACAGCAATACCTAACAGGGGTGAAAGGGGAAGGGGAGGAAAGGACAAGAGAATATTGTAGAATGAGATTCAAGGCTTTGGAAGGAAGGAGAAGCAGGATGGGGATTGGAGGGATACCTCTTGCTATCTCATCTTTTGCTTAAATTGAAAAGTATCCCTTGTTCCCAAGTCAGAGAAGCCCAACAAACACTTCACCTTAGTTATTTAAGATTTGATCATTCTCAATAATAACAAAACTGCAACTGAGAAAGCATTTCCTGTTGACAAAACATCAGCAAGGAAGCTGCTGACTGTGCTGCAGTCACATGCAATTTATCCTTACAGGGCACAGAGGGGAAGAGTAGGGGGGCAGAAAGCTAGACCTGTAGCCTATCTTGCTCAAAGTGTTGATGAATTTTCTATTTGTCAATGAGTTGCTAACCACATGCATTATGAAAAATAAATAATGAATTATGTATTAATGTTTGTTTTGCCATTTTAAGGCCCATAAAAAAGTCAGTGGACCTAAAATACCACAAATTAAAAATGCAAATGACGACAAATCAGACCAATTTACCAAGCGCTAATGATCTCTAGTGAGATCTCATTGTGGAAGATAAAGATGTTGAGATGACAGTTTGTAAACTGCTTGCAAACTTTATCAAAGTGGAAAAGGGAAGAAGAGGGGGAAAGGAGGAGGAGTGACTGTACTGTGGTAGGGACAGCTCAGAGCACATCTGAACTCTGGCCTTGTGGAGGGAGCCAGGAGCCAGGAAGCCTGAGGAAAGGCCCACCCTGGGCCTGAGGCAGAGCCAAAGGCTGAACAAGCCCATTGCCTCCAGTGGAATCTGTGTTTGCACCTATTTCTCACATGCTTTGAATATTTTTAAAATTTTTAAATTTTATAGACGAACAC